GCGCGATATTGTTTTTACAGTCTTTGGGCGCATCGAGTGATAACAATCACTTCCCATCGACCGGGAAAAAAACACGTCGTATTACGCTTCCCCTCGATTTTTCAAAGATAATGTTATTCCCTTTGAAAGTACCTCGAACAACCAACAGCCGCGATTCCGATATTCCTGCACGAAATTAAACAGGTTCGGTATCTCCGTAAGGGGCGTCCTTTAAATCTCGTGCACCCGAACAACTATTAGTAGGAGAGCTTGGGACGTCGGGATGAAGTATTAATTTCGTGTCGCGAGCGGCTGACTGTATAACATTTGCAAGTACAAGAAAAAAGATAAGAAAAAAGGGCCGTCGGTGGTGCACTGAATTAGCTCGCGCGTGCGAGGGTTAAAGGGACCCCGAGATGCATATCGCCCATTACTTGTGTACTCGGTACACAAAATACTATATATAGTCGATGGTGCATTACAGCGGAACCGTACAGAATTTTTCTCCCCTTTTCATTGTGCCCGCAACATCTGCCACGAAAGAGAACTTGCCTACACAAATACAAATATGTACATACATACGCGCTCGCTTCTCCGTGGCTGGCTGTGTGTGTACAATATACGACAGATCCGACATCAGCTCGGCCCTTTGAGGACGAGGACGGTGTACTTCGTGCCTATATAGCTCTCTTCCTGTAGCATCGCCGGGGAAAAGAGAGGAGGACCGTATACGGAGTAACGCCGCGTATATAGAGCTGGGAGAGGAAGAATGGTATAGTTCCTCCTACATGTTATGCTCCTCTTTTCTTTTTTTTTTTTTTTTTTCGTCCGCCACCCACGACGCCCCCGCGTCCCGAATCCCCAAATGCACCGCGTTGACGGACCAAAGGGGATAGACTCTTCCTCCCATGTATACGTGCCGTGTCCCTTTAAGAAAGACCACATTGTCTTCCCTCGGACTATTGTCTTTTTTTTTTTTTTTTTTTTTTTTTCAAGCGAGCGTGTAAGTAACACATCATCGGTTCGGGCCTGTTCTCTCTGTATCAACCTTAATTTGTCGCGCTCGGAGATGTCTTTTTTTTTTCTCTCCCAACATGGAGGGAGGGAGGGCACACGATGTATGTATACGCGCGGTTAAAGTCTCGTTGATGTCCCTCTGCTTCTCGAATCTAAAGGAGGAGGACCTCTGCGATCGATCCTTTCCCCCTCCAGGTCTATATACCGTATAGGAGCTCGGAGAAGCTTATACATCATTCTCGGATCCCCCGTCGTTGTCTCTGCTGTCCGAGATCATCGGGGACGAAGACGGAGTGTATGTAGGTACACGTATATAAGAAGAGCATCGAGACTAGAGGCGATAAATCCATTCGCGAGCGACAGCTAGCCCTAATAAGATACACACACGTATAATGCCTACTATATATCGTGGTGGTGGCCTCTTTTTTTTTTTTTTTTTTTTTTTCTCGTGAAAAGTTCCCTTACACCGTGCAGTGTATGTATACGGAAATAGCGAGAGAAACATATTGTACACTTTGAAGGCCTTTCTCTGAAATTAGAAAGCGATACCCCCTCCTCCTCCTTTGGAAATCTGCTTTACGGAAAGAGAGCGATCCTTTCGACACAGTTTTCGCTCCTCTCGCGCGACGAAATCAATGTACTGGCTGTGGGGAAAATATGCCCGCCTTCTCGATCTGAGGCATTGATAAAAAGGAGCCATTAAAGGAGAGCAATCCCGAAAGTTGACAAATCGCGAAATTGATTTTATTCCTGAAACCAAGCAGTCAAGCGTATGTTGTGTGTATAATGTATACGTCGCTTTGTACAAGGAAGTGCCTGTACACAGATCGACAGGACGCAAGCTGTAGAAAATTTGCAAATCAAGTAGGGTATATAAAGGCGCGGCAGCGGCGGTATATTTATGTACATGTGTGCGACAATGAGCTGATGGCAATTCACTGCGAGCGAGAGACGGACCCTTCGAGCCGGTTCTTGGTGTGTCGTGCTGTGATAATAGGCGGGTGTTTCTCTCATCCTCCCTCTCTCTCTCCCCGAAAAGAAAGGCACTTTCTCTATATATTATATACTTGGCTTGTTTCGGTCGCCTTGACATTTCTCTCTCTCTCTCTCTATGCTTTTTCCCCCGAGAGGATCCCTGTATACCGGGCAACACGACGCGGAAGTTTTTCTTTTTCTGTATACCCGCGCTTGGTTAACATTGTGGATCGGCACGGCCGGTCAATTTGTATTCCAATGACACTATTTTTTTTTTTTTTTCTTCGTAAAAACTATCCAATAGAGTCACGATGGCTTGCAAGCACACGATCAAAGTGCCATATAGCGTTCAATCATTTTTTTTTTTTTTTTTCTAGGTATATCTCCCGTTGTTGATTACATTGCGTCGTAGTATACGATATATATATAATGCAATACGAGAGCGCCGAGTAGATCATTTTTAATCATCTCCGGCTCTATATATTTAGGATCGTTTCAGTTATTGCCTCCGAGTCTATTCAGTTTTTTTTTTTTTTTTTTTTTTTTTTTTTTTTTCCCCGTTGTGACGCGCGGGTGTATCGAAGCGGCAAAAGTTNTTCTCTCGAGCTTGTTGTCCGGCGCTCAATATTTCGTTTGGACGACGAATTTTTTTTTCTTTTTTTTTTTTTTTTTTTTTTTTTTTTTTTTCATTCCCCTTGACGAATACAAAACGATACAAGTATACACGTATACGAGTTATTTACAAGTGCAACACTCGGTGACGACGAGGCCCGAAATCGGCTGAAACCACGCCTCCCGATAGATGGCTCGGCTGTGACCTCGATAGCCGAAACAAGGCCCGTCTGGCTGCCTCCTCTATACCTTTTTGTGTACTACAGATATAACCAACCATTGCCACGAGAGAGAATCCACAAGTGTATATTATATCTATTGCAGCCTCTTTTTTTTTATCCGACTCTGCTCGAATCACAGCCTTGGCTGGGGTGAACGCCTTTCTGCTTCGCTGCGAGCGAACGCGGAAATTTCATGCGTGCTTCTTTTTTTCCTCCTGTGTGCTCCATCGGTCGTTGATGGATGTGCCGATCGAGGATAATCGTTTGTACCCTTCGATGTATACACGTGCAGACAAGTGGAAACAAATTTAAAAAAAAAAGAAAAAAAAAGGCACTTTTTGTCACTCTACGAGTAGGTATGTAGGTGTGAATTGAGGGAAGGGGGGGGGGAGGAGGAAGTTTCAAGGTTTTCCACGGCGACTAACGGTGACGGCCACGCCGAGACCTTCGATTTCGATAGGAGAGGAAATTCGAGGCTCGGCTCGAAAAAAGTACAAGGTATACACATATACCTCGCGCTCGGGGCTCGCTCGAAAAAGCCACCATCAGGGCCATCAACAAAAATTATAAAGTTATACCAGAGTTGGCGAGAAAGTATTTACACACTCACACACTCACGAACCAAATGATTTAGATGGGACGTGGCGCAAAGATGAGACGCTCGATACAAGCGGGGGCTCGGGCGATCCCTTTGTCTCTCTGCTTTCCCCTCCGGGCGCGCGGCGGGTCTCCCGCGAGCGAGAGGAAAAAAAGGCCGGAACAAATGGGCCCCAAAAAACCGAGGAGCAAAGAGAGCTCTCGCTTGCACGGGAATATACTTACTCGGGCGCGCAACACATGTATATGTATATTGAGGTATAGAGCAGCGGTAACGCGGCATAATGGTGGCTTGGAAAAAAGGAGCGAGCGAGAGAGAGTGGGAGGGAGGGAGGGAGAGACGAAAAAAAAAAGAAAAAAAAAAAAACGAGGCAAAGTGAGGTGAAGAGAGCTGACCTACTGTCGCAAGTGGCTCAGGGCCGTTCCTGTCCAAATCGCTCCTCGTCGGCTCGCGCTCTCTCGTATTATATATTTATATTGTATACCCACGGTGTGTGTGTGAGTGCTTGGCTGCCATGGCCTCACTTGCGAGACAAAGAATAAGCGAGGGCAGACCAAGTTTCTATGGTGTTCGTCCGATGGGTTAATGGTATATCCTTCGTGTGTATACTCATTTGGGCACATTTTTCCTTTGGGACGATTCGTGGATTCACGTTTGTATAAGCGATCACGTTTCACTTTGTCAAAGTCCGGGAAGGTATGCTTTTTTTTTCGTTTCTAGCTAAACATAGAATTCAAGCTCAATGGAGATGGTCAAAGATCAATCAATTTGCCCTCGTACGTTTAACGCCAACCACTGGATTACGTATCAATGAAAATCATTGCGCCTACGTCAACTTGAAAATGTTTATTTCCGTGGGGTGAAATTTTTTATTTTTACAGGACAACAAAACTCTCCACCAATAAAACATAAACGGCAACATTCCAAGCGGGGTACGATTCACTCGTACGAAGCAACAAAAAAAACAATCCATTCGCACCTTTTGTTTCCGAATAGTTTTATTTATTTTTTCCTCCCCATCAATCCTCTTCGGCAGCTCGAGTATACTATATACCCATTCCGCCCCGTTTCAATTTACCGCGACCGTATACATATAGCTCCGCGGTATCGATTGTTCGGACGCGAGGCCGCGTATGATTGCCGCGACGCGCGTTTATCGGAAGCTCCCCCTCCCTCGTATACGTATACCTATTTCTACATACTGATTATTTCCGGGAGGGGGGTATCCCACGCTTTTGGGAACGCGTTTCGTCGGCTTTGCTGCTTCTGCTGCTGATGGTTACCTCTTGCGGTATACTGGTTTTCGTCCTTGATCCGTTTTATTCTTTTTTTGTCTCTCTACAAACTTTATCTAGCAAATCACACATTTTTATTTCATTCTGGCCAAGCCTTCCACACGACTTTTGTATCTACCAATGATCGAGTGAAACGACCTGCAACTCGCTTCAAGTTGAAAGTGCCGTTTTTTTTCTTTTTTTTTTTTTTTTTTTTTTTTTTTTTTTTTCGTAAGCAATAAAATTACAAAAATTTATATACTCTTTCTTTAAACATACAACGTATGATTCTCATCGTTAATTGTTGTTATGTTTTGATTTCAGATGCTGACACTCAGTTTTGTCAGTTTCGTCAATGAGTTATGCTTCCAAGTGAGTATACAATTATCATTTGACACACTCGTTTTACGTACAATAATATTATTTAATTCAGGCCGATTGCCGCGTATCTACCTACACACATATAGAGCTGGTGGTACGAAGCGCGTGTATCAATCGCGAGATTAAAACGATGAGTCAGTAGACTTTAACGGTACATCTGAGCAAATGAAACATCGATCGCCGCTGTTGTTCTTTGGAAAAAAAGAAACATTTCTCATCGGATGCCCGTGTTTGTTTGGATCCCGTTAACGCAAAGTGCTCCTCGTTGTTGGCGTAATATCGTTGAGCAAGCACATACATGCGTACACAATACAACATCGGACCTCAAAGTATTTTGAAATAATAGCCGTCACATTAATGTCTCGTCGGTTTAAAAAAAGATGACGTGCGTGAATCTATACTGCCCATCGAGGCCGCCATGGTTCTGCATATAGGTATATATAATATACGTTTATACATACACATATATACATGATATCTAGCGTTAATAATGTACGTATAGATAAATATAGAGTTTTGTGGGCGCGTGACACATACTCTGTTATACAACTGGTAGCGCTCGTCCTTGCTTGCTTACGTAACTGTATATCCATTTGCGAAGACCAATTTATTTTTAATGCCCAAAGCTAAAAAATTCTTACCTGATTTGCCTTCTTTGCAACTGTGCGATGTCTTTTGGGTTTGAAGAATTTTTATTTCCGGATTGAAACGATTTTTCGATCGTAGTACTAGTCGCCGTAAACAAATAATCGGTTCAATGGTTTTCGATGGATTGAAATGTAAAATTATAAGTTCTCACTTTTTTTTTAATTTTTTTTATTTTTCAAGCTCTTGACATCCCTCAAAATATTTGTAGTCCTCAAAAAATGTACTCACTCGGGAAAAAAAAGCAGCTAATGCCGAACATGTTGTGTGTACTTGTCTACCACATCTTTATTCATAATTAAAATGCGAGTTTTTCATTGTTGCGAACCTCATTGCCCGTACTTATTGTGTTTTATTCATTATATACGTACTGTAAAAACATATAACATATATACAGGTAACCACTGAAATAATCATACATACACACATCATCCCGATCCAGCGTATTCAATTACGTTCGCGGCTAAATCACTTAATTACACTCCCGAGGAAGTAATTACGAGTCCCTTGGATCAACCAATTTGATTGTCAACTTAGCGGTAGAGTAATATCAACAGAGTGTATATACCAAATAGTAAGAACATTTCCCCGAGCATGCGTTAATTTTGTTTTTCACGATGGATCGACGGCACGATGATTTATACTTGAAAATATAATCCTGCGACCACGTTGTGATGTAATATCACCACGCTTGTATCGTTAATATGTTCGAATACCAAGATTTTGCGAACCTGTCAATCTCGAGGAGAAAAAAAAAATAATAAGCTGCAACTTTCGGCCTCGAGGAACCAAGACCAAGCTGATAAACTGCGACCTCTTTATCATCATTTCCGTCTGCATTACATAATACATAAATTATACCCTCAAAGCAGCTCATAGTCGTTCGGCTCTTAACAACTTCATCTCCACACGTATGTTATTTCGCGTCTTTCCAAAGAGCCTGAAACAACGCGTGTTGGTACAAGGTGCGCGCGTGTGTGTATTTACGATTCGGCTGATCAACGAGCGCTATTTCGTCCACAAGGAATAGACAGACGACCTTGAGTGATCTCCGGCTTCTTCGGCCCGTTCGTCTGTGCCTCCTCTCTTCGACGCTTCCACACACACGCGCACCGGTCGATGCTGGGGCGTGATGCGCAGAATCTGGTTTGTCCAGCACACATATATATACACATCACTTACCTACAAAGTGCGTGCCTGCGTATAAGTACACACGTATAAGACGTATATAATATATATACACATGACGATGTGCGCGCAGCCTATGCCTCGAAGGACGTCGCGGCCTCGCCGAAAGAGATCCCGATGTATAATAATAACAACATATAGGCGCCCGATCGAGCGAATCAAGCGATTATTAAAATAAACGGCACTTGACGCCTCGCCCCCTCCCCCTCACTCTCCCAACTCGCCGAGTGGATTGATCAAGTGTTGCCACGTATATAGTTACGAGCGCTCGGAATCATTATTTGACTCTCTGTTGCTCCCCACCTCTCAACAACTACTACTGTTAGTTTTCGGTGGTTTTTCACTTGACATTCCAGTATAAGGCCCGAATCTTTTTCTTCATCCTCTACGAGGTAACGTAATCAATTCCCCCCCCCCTACGTGACCTCGGTTCTCGGCTTCCGGCTCGCCTGTCCCTTTGTGACCGTGTACAAATACGTTGTACACACCTCTCTTTTTTGTTGTGTACAATATAATGTGTGGTGTACATTGTCCACCTGTGAGTTGTGAAAGGTTGTAGAGTCCTTTTGGTCAACAAATCAACTCTGCTCGCCAAACGAAGTTTCGGTCTTTTACACAGAGCAACGGCCACAACACCTGGTTTACCCGTACACAAAGTATGCACTAAATATGTAAATATGTATATATAGGTGTTTTCGGCAAGTGACGAGTGAAGCGAGAAGTCAGAAATAGCGGATCGTCGAGTTTTTCTGGCCAATTTATTTTTATCCGACAAAACGGTAACCCCCTCCCCCTTTCCTCCTCGTCACCTTCACATACCGACTCGCCGCGTGTTTTCGCCCGATAACTGTTTTCCCGAGAGCCGGCTGCTCTGCGGAAGAAGGAAGCCCGGCACATCCACCTTCATATATATATATACGTGGACACCGGGACGCAGCCCTGCATAATATGTACTTTTATTTTCTCGCGGGTATCGCGTGTCACGCGTGTGCCGATGTAAGACGGAGGAGGAAAGCAACAACCTGCAAGCCCTTCCTGAACAATCGCCATCGATGTAACGATATCTGTTAACCCGGACTTTCCTCGTGATGATTCGGGCGTTCATTGCGTTTGAACGGCGCAGTAAACACGATGCGGTATACATGGAATGTACTAGTTATAGTTGGTGGCTTTTATCGTTTGTCCCTTGGAAAAAAAAAAAAATAGTGGATTCGCCATGGAATTCGCCTCGCACCCTCAAACACATGCGGCGGCGCAAAACAGACCCACGTATATGCACGTATATGGGGTACACGGTGCAGGCTGCGGCTACGGCGGTGCCCATGCAGGGTTATTCACCAGCGAGCGCGCAGCACTTCCCTGCGAATTATGGCGTCCGCTGGTGCTGTGTGTGTGTGTGTATACATATACATTTTCCCCTACGACTGGCTGCGTGTGTATACATATATACCGTGGGGTTGCATCGATCCGGTTGCCAGGTCCCCCTTTCCCCCGTTTGACAGCCAGCACGGCCGAGAATAAGGGAGAATAAAAGGAGGAGGAGGACGAGCGCACTGATGCGAGTTCGAAACTTTCTCGGACCAACTCCTCCCTCCTCCTCCTCCTCCTCCTCCTCTCGTGCGTTGTTGTTGTTGATGCTGTCGAGCGTGTTACATATATAGCTTAAAGGGGCTACCTACCAATTTTCTTTTTTTTTTTTTTTTCGCCCCGTTGTACATTACGCACGCGATTGTTTTACCAAAATCGCATCATCGCACCAAACGCGCTGCAGCAGTGGTTGCCGATCGCATCGGGTGTATATCTTTTCGCTTTTTCTATTTAATATATACCTATACACGTGTCTCGCTCCCGTCGATATTTTTCGCCATCCTCCTCTCCTTCGTCAAATTCCCTCGATTTGCCGCTAAATACGGCGTCATTTCTCCTCTCCGTACACCCTCATCGATTCATCGTTTTTCCCCTCTCCTCCTCGATGCAACACAAATTATATACTTATACACCTATAGTATATAGGCACCGGGAGTCAAAGAAAGTGCAGTGCCCCTCTTTCTTCCCTGTGCCCGTGATAAATAGGAAAATTGCCCGGTTCGTGTTTCCTCGGGCATTAATCATCATCATCATCGTACTTTTTCCATCCCCCCTCTCTCTCTCTATATCCAGTCCACCCCCGCCCAATGACGGATGCGCGTCCCCGTGTGTGTGTGTGTGTGTCTTTTTGATGTATGTGGCTTTGCGTGATATTTCTTTCAATGGAACGGCGCGAGAGTGGGCGTAACTGCTTTTGTCCTTTCTCTCCCACCCCCCTGGAGCTTCGTCGGCTATAACTAAGACGGAACGGCACGTGCAAGGGGTGAAGGACAAACGACACGGAGGGAACTTTCTCCATCTAATATGGAAGAGGCTCCGTCGATCGCGGTGACACCGAAAGAGCTGTTTTTTTTTTTTGGTTTTTTTTTTTACTTTCACAAGGTCAAAAATCAATGGAGGATTTTTTTGTGATAGTCAATCGCTTGAACACGCATGTATATATATACGAATGCAGCCATAGCTCGGGCGGGAATAAAGAGATTTCTTTTTTTTTTTTTTTTTTTTTTTTTAAATAACCGATTGCTTGAGGTATACGTCCAGCGAATCCCGGATGATTTGTCAAATCTCGCGTAAAAAAAAATAACTGGCTCTTGTCTCTGGTTTCGTCAATCCGTGAATTTTCGGGCGAAAGACGCGCCGAGACCGATGCGTAATCTATAGGTGTATCTCGAGTCGTCCAGTTAACCGTAAGTATAGTTGGTAAATTTCGTCAACAGGTATATATGGTCGCTTGCGACATCCTCTCGTTTCTTTCTCCCGTCGTTAGGTTAAAAAGAGGAGGAGGAGGAGGAGAAACGGTTCTCTCGCTGGGACGCGACCTCGTCAGTGTTTACCCATGATTATTACACGGGAGAGCTCGATTGTTACGAAACCCAAAACCGGGACTTTTGCCGGGCGGACGTGACAATAACTTTTTTTTTTTTTTTTTTCATCTACTCTTGATACACGTGATATAATATAAATATGGTTGTATACGTATAAAAGATAGTGTTGATGCGATACGTGGGTCACTGTTTGTTGGGATTCGGATTAGCAGGTGTACGTTTAAACCTCGTTTGGGCCATCAGCTA